TTTAGTTAATGAGTTATTGATACTTCAAGTGCAAAATGATGATATAAAACCATGATAAAAATGCACTTTTAAGTACTAATCAAATTGGAAGAGAGATTCAAAGAATTGCATAAATATATACACAGATATCAGTTATTATGGGAAACTAAAAGAACCGACTTAAGTCACGGAGTACCGTTGTCCGCCATTTGACCAGGGTGAGAGAAACTAGCAAAAATTACTAAAAATGAAACACAAAAACAATGTAAGAAAAAATCAATCTTTATATACAGGATCACCCAATTTAATAGAGTTATTTTCAACTGAAAAATTATCAAAATAAACTTTCAAACGATGTCCATTTACCTTGAAAACATTGTCATTCTTTAGATTCTCAATATCACAGGCCCCATATAGATACACATGTTTTACAATAAAAGGACCGCTCCATCTTGATCTTAATTTTCCAGGAAATAAATGCATTCGAGAATTATAAAGGAAGACTTTTTGACCAACATTGAATGTTTTTTTCAGTATTTTCTTGTCATGAAACTCTTTGATTCTTGCTTTATGAATTCTTTAATTTTCATATGCATCATTTCTTATTTCCTCAACCTCATTTATTTGTAATTTTCACAGTTGACTAGCATCATCCAGATTTGAATTGAAAGCTTTAATAGCCCAATAAGCTTTATGTTCAAGTTTCACAAGCAAGTGACAAGGTTTTCCATAGACCAGTCTATAAGGTGACATACCTAATGGTGTTTTATAAGCAGTTTGATAAGCTCAAAGTGCATCATTAAGTCTTAAAGACCAGTCTTTCCTATTAGGGTCCACTTGTTTCTCCAAAATATGTTTGATCTCCCTATTAGCAAGCTCTACTTGTCCACTTGTTTGAGGGTGATAAAGGGTAGCAACTTTATGTGTGATTCCATATTTCTTCATTAAAGACTCAAATGGCTTGTTGCAGAAATGTGTTCCACCATCACTTATTATGGCTCGAGGGACTCCAAATCGACTCAAAATATTTTCTTTCAAAAACTTTATTACTATTTTATGATCATTGTTTTGACTTGGAATTGCCTCTATCCATTTTGAAACATAATCTACTACGACTAATATGTATAAGAAACCAAATAATGGAGGGAATGGACCCATGAAATCTATACTCAGCAGTCAAAGATCTCAATGACAAGAATAGGATTTAAAGGCATCATGTGACATTTTGAAATAGATCCCAACTTTTGACAATTCTCACAAGTCTTGTAGAATGCATGTGAGTCCTTGAACGTGGTGGGCTAGTAAAATCCACTTTGTAAAATTTTTGCAGTTGTCTTTCTTGATGAGAAATGGCCCCCATATGCCTTAGAATGACAAAATTTAATGACACTACTGACCTCATTATTAGGAATGCATCTTTGAAATATTTGATCAGGACAATATTTGAATAAATAAGGGTTATCCCAATAAAAGTTCTTCACTTCGTTCAAAAACTTTCTTTTATCTTGGGTACTCTAATGAGCTGACAATGGTCCCGAAACAAGAAAATTAACAATATTAGCAAACCAAGGCATTGTAGAGATGGAAAGTAAAGATTCATCGGGAAAATAGTCATCGATTGGTGTGATGTCAGTTTTCGAATCTATTGTCAATTTTGACAAGTGATCTGCAACAATATTTTTGCTGCCTTTCTTATCTTTGATTGTGATATCAAATTCTTGAAGTAACAAAATCCACTGCACCAATTTAGCCTTAGAATCTTTCTTAGAAAGAAGATATTTCAATGCTACATGATCACTAAAAACAACAACAGGTGAACCCACAAGATAAGACCTGAATTTTTCACATACAAATACTACTACAAGTAATTCTTTTTCAGTGGTGGTATAATTCATTTGAGCACTATTTAAAGTTTTACTTGCATAGTAAATCACATAAGGTTTCTTATCTCTTCTTTGTCCCAAAACAACACCTACGACATAATCACTAGCATCACACATTATTTCAAAAGGTAATGACCAATTGGGAGGTTGAATGACAGGATCACAAGTAAGCAAGTTTTTAAGTTTAACAAAGGCTTCTTCAAAATGTTGAGTCCATTAAAAAATAGTATCATTTGTTAGAAGGTTACTTAAAGGCTTAGATATTACACTAAAATCTTTGATGAACCTTCTATAAAAACCAGCATGTCCTAGGAATGATCTAACATCTTTAATAGATTTTGGTGTTGACAAGTTCACAATTAACTCGATTTTAGATTTGTCAACCTCAATTCCTTTTGATGAAATAATGTGACCAAGTACAATGTCGTTTGTTACTATAAAGTGACATTTTTCCCAATTCAGCACAAGATTCTTTTCTTCACACTTGATCAAAACCTTTTCTAAGTTAGTCAAACAATCATTAAATGAATCGCCAAAAACAGAAAAATCATCCATAAAAATCTCAAGAAAATGTTCAACCATAACACTAAATATACTAAGCATGTATTTTTGAAATGTGGCTGGTGCATTACATAATCTAAAAGGCATTCTTCGATATGCAAAAGCACCAAATGGACATGTGAAAGTAGTCTTCTCTTGATCTTCCAATGCAATTTCAATTTGGTTGTAACTCGAATAGTGATTGATACTTAAAAGTGTATTTTTATCAAGCTTTTATATCATCATTTTGAACTTGAAGTATCAATAACTCCTTAACTAAAGCATGTTTTATAATAATATATCTAATAATATAAGATACCTTTAATTTATGGTAAATGTTCATTTTAAATACAGGCCTATCACATAAATAAAAGGATTGATTGATAAATTTAAGAACTGAAATTAGAAGGACAAAGAGATGGCCAAACTTAGAAAAGAGATGTCGGTGCAATCCAAACTGGAACACTGTTGGGTAATTGGGTCATATCTAGAGCTGTAGA